CCAATCAGAAGTCGTTCAAAAATTTTTTTGTTGAACTACGAGATTCTACAATATGCACCGAAAAACTTTTGTCTAACAAGACAAGTCTATATTCTTTTTCAAACACAGTTTTCTGGTGAGATTGTTTTCATCGGGTCGGGTCGGATTCGTTAAGAAGTTTTTTCATTTTGCTCCTCTGGTACATCCTATTAATAACTATTCTCTGTCGGTTTTGGAAACATAGATAGAAAGAAAAAATTCACGAAAAACAAAGGCCTCTGACGCATAAAAAGAATAAAATTCTTCTTTTTCTGCTTGTGTACAAAAGTGGGTACATGGCATCCAGTCACCATTGAAAAACTTATTTTTAATTTCTTCCCTTTTTTTAGAACTTATTTAACATATCATCTGATATGATTCAAATGTTTGACGAAATAAATCAATTAAACAACATTCAAACACAATGAATGATGATCTCTATAATAACTATTTACATTGTTGCATCTATAGGTATAATTTTCTACATCATCTCTCTTTCTTTTTCCTCGTACGCTGTAGAATGAACTTTTACAGCAAAACAACAGCGCTTTGCCGTATTATAAGTTCAATTATTTTTCCTGACAAGACGTTGAAAGTAAAATTATCGAAAGACATGTGAAAATACATAATCACATATGTTGATCATGATGAGGAATTTAGCCTTAAGGAACTTCAATTTAGCCTGGAGACCCTCCGGACGTCTGTTCCACAACTTTTTCTGGTTCTCTGCTAGTGTTATCAGATAGACCATAACAAGTTACATATTCTGTAAAATGTAGGCGTTGCAACCAGATTCTCTTCCTAGTCAGCTTGGGCGAATACTTTGAAAATCCTATATACCAGATATAACCTACAACGAGTAGTTGACTCGAAGGAGAAAAACGGTACGAAAAGAAACAAAGAAAGAAGATTTTTGCTAGGCAACGCTCTGAGTGAAAAGCAAAAAGTCTCCTTTCGTTTCACTCAGGCGACTTAAATATTGACCCATTATTCGGTAACAGAAACAAGAAAAGGAAAAAACTAATGAGCAATTTGGAATCTATTCTAGATCGACTCAGACTGGCCTGCTCCATGTCGACTTCACACAGAATGACAGATCGATATGGCGCACGCGTTTTGCAGAAATTAATTATCTTTTGCGCATTCACAGATACACCCAAACAGCCTCTGCGCCATGTCAACTTGACATTCTGTGTGAAGTTGACATGGAGCAGGCCACTCTTAATCGACTTAGAATAGAGATGAGAGCTAAATCGACTTCATCTGAAGTTAATTTTTTACCATCTTTCTATATACATGTGGCAATATAGCGAAAAAAGTGAACGAAATGTGGAATTTTTCAACCACTGGAATTCAAAGTAAATATTAAAAAGAGCGAAATTATGAAATTATTTTTAAAATCGAGAAAATTAGATTTTCAAAAATGGAAAATTATTATACTTCGTAAGTAAAAAATCGACTTTTTTGTTCGACGAAAAATCTATGAAGTAACATTTATTTGTGTACATGATTCGGTTTGTTTTGATGCAAATGAAACTATTTTTGAGCTCTATCGAAATAGATGGCCTCTAGTTTGACAAACAAGACTCTTAGCACTCTGGTAAGAAGTGATGGCACAGTTTCATTTTTGTTTGTCACACATAAAAGCCGAGTGTCACTCAAACTTAAAACTTCAAGTAAATACGAAGTACAAAATGTTGAATATCAAGAAAAATATCACATAGGAGAGCACCTGCTTCCCGTCGGCTCCCTTGAATATAGATGGTCTAGCTGGAGGTCTAAAAACTGAGATGAGGAAGCAAAGGCAAATTCTTTTTATAGATAACCGGGACGAAAATCGAAAACCATTTCTTTTATAAGGTGCAAATCATGCAAAAAGGGAGCAGAATTTGTTTTCGTTCTGTTGGCTATGGTTGGATAGAGCTCATCGAGTTGCATAGAAAAAAAGTCCACTTGAGACTTTCTGAAGTTATTTTTGGGTAAAAATTTTCGCAAAATATTGACTTTTAAAAAGAGACAAAAATACATGAAAGTCTGAGAAATAACCAAAATTTTCATATTTATTCCTGATCTATCATTTTGAACCTAATTTTTTCTAATTCGGCATGCAGAATTGACTATAGAAAATCGAATTCGACAGTTTCCATAGTTGAAATGAAGTCAGATTTTGAGAAACCCGAGTAGAACCAGAAAAGACCCTCTGTTCATCTTGCCAATCTATCTAGTTTTTCTAGTTAAGAGATAAAAAATTTTTCTTATCCTCATTCGAATCATCATATCAGTGGGAGTAAAGGTACGAATCGCTTTTTTGAAATTATTGTATCTTTATTGAAAAACTGCACTTTCTTTTTTCTTGAATTTTGTGCACCGAAATGAGGGTGGTCAACTTTCAGTAAAAGCTTGAATTTTCATTGAAATCTTGTCAACATACAAGCATATACATAAAAAACGATGTAGAATTCTATATTGCCACATGTATATAGAAAGATGGTAAAAAATTAACTTCAGACGAAGTCGATTTAGCTCTCATCTCTATTCTAAGTCGATTAAGAGTGGCCTGCTCCATGTCAACTTCACACAGAATGTCAAGTTGACATGGCGCAGAGGCTGTTTGGGTGTATCTGTGAATGCGCAAAAGATAATTAATTTCTGCAAAACGCGTGCGCCATATCGATCTGTCATTCTGTGTGAAGTCGACATGGAGCAGGCCAGTCTGAGTCGATCTAGAATAGATTCCAAATTGCTCATTAGTTTTTTCCTTTTCTCGTTTCTGTTACCAAATAATGGGTCAATATTTAAGTCGTCTGAGTGAATAGAGATCATCATTCATTGTGTTTGAATATTGTTATTTGATTTATTTCGTCAAGAATTTGAACCATATGAGATGATATATTAAATAAGTTCTACAAAATGGAAAAAAATTAAAAATAAGTCTCAAGTAGACTTTTTTCTATGTAACTCGATGAGCTCTATCCAATTATAGCCAAAAGAAGCAGAAAGAAAAAAATTCCGCTCCCTTTTTGCATTATTTGCGCCTTACATTCGTTTTGGTTGTGTAACAAATGAAGATAAAAATAAAATAAAAATACCCATTTTATAACCAAGCAGAAATAAAATAAAACTTCTACCATAGTTACACGAAAGGTGTGAAAAAAGCATTATTACATACAAGATAACAGCAAAAGCAACGATTATACCTTGAACTTTGAGATATTCTATTGTTTCATCATAGAAGCGAAATAAGACCTACGCAGTACGCATCTTTCAGTAGAGCAGGCGGATATTTAGTTTTTAGATTTAAAAAGCAGTTATCTGTGTTTGATATTGAACTCGAAAAAACGTTTTTCTTGATGAAAAGTCCTTGAGGAGGACTCTTCTTCTAAAATTTTGTCGAAAAATTTTTCTTATGAAAATAATTGAATTACACATATCAGATGCAGTTTTATGTGCTGATTTCAAATATCATATTAGTTGTTGCTTTTTTTATAAAAACGCTTTCAAGCCTTGAAAAATGGAAAATACCGGAAAAACCATGGGTTTTTGCAAAGCTTATAACTCGATTTTGGAAAACATGTGCATTTTTGTAGCTAGAAAATTATGCAATCTTTCGAAAAAGATAAAAACAATGTATGAAAATCCATCGCAAAGTCCTTTCAAACAGGAAGTGATCAAATTTTCCTTCTGCTCTTTACAACATTACTTGTTGTATGCTCATTCATACAGAACATCTAAGTAAGTTAAAAATTCGCAAAATACGGAGTATAGGGTCACTTTTTCACATGTACCACTTGCAGAATTTTTCCGGCTGACATGACGCACGAAATCTGACAAAAAATCACATGTCTATACCCATGTCTACTCGAGGAATCCGAATATCACATCAGAAAGGTCGAAAAGTGGAAAGGAACGAAGTTACAGTTGATTTTTTCCAAGGGCAAATTTTTGACGTTTTCCACCTATACTCAGTATTTTGCGTTTTTCTCTTTGAAGACGCGGTCAAATCGAAAAAATGAGGTGATATTCGCGATCAGTGAAAAAGTCTAAATCCGAATAAATGTGTTTAAAAAAAAAGTAAAACTGTTCAGGGTTTGAATTAGCGGCACCTTACAATATATTCTTTTCTCTTTACGTAATTGTTACAAATTTGTAGTTGCTCTATTGAGTTAAGTATTAGCTTTTTTGTATATTCTAGTTTTACTGTGTACTAAATAAAGATTTTTTGACGCAGAATACGGGCTTCTTCAATTAAGATCTTCTTTTGCTACCAATTTGGCTATTAATTAAAAGTTTTTATTTATAAATAACTGACATGCCTGTAAGATTCCTTCTTACTCTATCTCACAACTATAGTAAAGGTATAGTTCGAGCCAAGGTTAATCTTTTAGTAAAACCGATTTAAAAAACGTTCCACACTCAAGAAGTCATAACGTTGAAGCTCCAAACTTGTCTGAAACGGTTTGTCTGATCCATGTTGTTCATTGACACTTTATGTTTGTTATTTTATGCAGATGTTCTGTTTCTACAGGCGTAAATTTATCCGATGTACGGTCTGGGGGATATCTTGAAAACAATCGATGTTATTGTATATTTAATACTCTATTTATCCCTCTGACTCATAGGAGCATAGATACTAATTAAAACAGTTTTTGGTAGATAACGTATGATTTATCGTTAGACAGATGATTCAGTGTAATATGTATTGGTGTATCAAACTACTCTCTATGTGAGCAAACGGATATATTTAATCTAAATTGTGCCTGTTTGAACAAATAGTATGACTGTTGCTCACCTATTCCAAAGCACTACTTACCTACGCTAGCAGCATCTCTGATATAAACCTTACAGAAGAAAAGTTACACTTACAGCGAGACAGGGACCGCTTTTGCTCTTAACAGATTTATCTTCAGCTAACGTATGATTCTTTTTCTACTACTATTCTAATACTATTTATTACTAAACTATCAATTATTTAATAACAAAAATCATTCTCGAATTGACTGTTGCTGGTAGTTGAATAATTTCCATGTTTGTTCATTATTATTTTGATCAATACCAATATGAAATATCATGAATCCACCTATTGTTGTCGCTTCTTGTTTCTTTTTTTTTGTTAACCATCGTAAAAATTGATCAATTCGTCGTGGCGTATGTTCATAAGTATAGTAATGGCGACTAAAATCATACTCTAATGAAAAACCTAATATAATTCTATGCGATGGTGTATATCTACTATACTGAACATAGTTATGTTTTAAATGCTTTAATTTCCAATCGTAACACATAAGGATGGTGTAATCAAAAAGATAATACGTAGATTTGTAGATTTCTAATAATGGTCGACCCGTTACAATGGACATAGTTTTACCACTATGAGATGACCGACCAAAATATCTTGATAGACCATGAATCAATCGTTTAGAATTTGCAATAGATTGAAAAGAGATCATTCATCTACGATATCCACTGTTAAATGACTACTGTTTTAATTTTTCAGTTTTGTACATCAACCGTAATATGTCGGATTCATTTGATACAGCGGTTGAACGTTTTTTTCAACAATTTCAACAATATTCCCTAGTAGCATTCTCGCTTCATTTCGTGGCAAGAATACAGCCTCATCTTGCCACGATTTTGACAAGAAATTTGAAATTTAACGCGAGATCGCTACCGCGATCGCACCTAATCCTGATATTTTTCCGGTATAGCAAAAATTTCACAATCTTGACGCAAAAATATTTTTGACGGGATCGCGCTGAAATCCCGCTAAGATCGCGGCAAAATTGAACGGGATCCGAACAAGATCAGGCAAAGGAAAAATCTTCTCAAGATCTTGTCGCGAATTATACACGAACTTGCCAGAATCCTGCCGCGGTCCCGCCACACTCTTGAGACACAAATCGAACGGAATCGCATAAAGAACTTAATCAGGAACGCGATTACAATTATAAGTCGCTATTTTATTTTGCCAAGGTCAGCATTTTTTCGTTACATGGGAAAAAACCGCGTTCGCGGTCAAATCTCAGAAAGAGTGGAACGGGAATACCACTAGAGTTGGTTAGCTCCGGTTATTGAACCAAAAACTTGATCTCTATACTTGTCTTTTTTACACTGATTTATTACTGTTGTTCAATTGGTGAAGATCTTTTTCGCACAGTCTAACTCTAAAACAAAGTTAATGGCTATGCTGTTTGGTTATTAAGATTTTTTAAGCTGTTTTTCAGCGTCAAGCATACCGAATTTCTTTCTTGGTAGTGATATTTGAGGTTATACAACACAGATCGAGAAATAACAAACTGGTTTTGGTTCTTACAAAAAAACGTGCATCTCAATATTTCACAAATGCTATTGGTTTTTGAAAGGATTTCAAACAGTCAACTTAGATGACCTAATTTTGTTAAAGGTGTATTAGAGAATATTATGCTGGCCGAGTCGAACTCACTAATATACAATTGGTGGAGAAGTATTAGTTAGAACAATTTAACATTTATCTGTTGTTCAAGTTTATCTTAATTATAAATGTTATGCCTGACTATATTCTGCTTATCTGAATGAACTGAATCGAACTTTTGTTTCATATTCATAATGAAGTTAAAGAGTGCAGCTAAAATGACTAGAAGTGGCTATACGTCACAATTGCATTAACATTCTTTCTCCTCTCGCCTTTCATTCCATTCTCTTTCTTTCTTCGCTTGTTCAAATCCCATGTGTGGATAAAGCGCGCTCTTGTACGGTTCATTATTTTGCTCAGCATAAAGTAGAGATTGTGAATAAATGCAGAGGGAATAAAAGGATCTTCTGGACAAAGGAATGTATCCTCAATAGAAAAGTTGGTAGCATGGAACGAAACTAACACTTTATCCTGTTTGATAATTAACAAAAATTTATCACCCAATGATCAGCTTCGATTTCTATAAAAAGAATTTTGAAAAGAGGAAAACCACGTACCATAGAAAGAGAGACACTTTAGCCACTCAGATCGTATGTCCTTGATGCTTAACGTTTAATTATAGTTTTGTGTATTCATATCGTAATCAAACTGATTTGTCGATTCAAAATCCAAATCAATACCATCCAATTGCCACTCTATCACCACTTTCCTATAGACGGTATAGCACCATTCATCCAATTGTTTATCTGTCATTTCAATACCAAATTTCATTAAGTACGAATTGTCTAAAATACTTGCAATAAATTTTATTGGATATCGGTGACGTATTTCGTGTACATCGGATAGTATCTCTTGCCAACGCTCATTCGATTCAGATGTTAAATAATTGGTGACTAGTGCAATGGATGGATTAAAATGGATTTCAAATAAAAATATGTGAATATGTGTTAATAGGTGGATAGGTAAATCACGTAAACGTCTATTCTCTCGTTCACCAGCATAACCCAACCAATAACCAATTAGATAGGGTCTATCATGTAATTGTACTTGCGGAAGTACTGGTTGATTAATAACAACAACTGCCATTCTAGATAGAAAAATACTTCTTAAGGTGTAGCTCTGCTGTTTCAATCCACAAGAGCTGATACAGGAACATACTCCGACGGACGGCTCTCTACTTTTTAAACTTTTATTATGATTTTTCGAGTTTTATCATGAATAAAGTAAATAGGTCGTACTTTTCAATAACTTTTGGAAAAAAAATTTTTACTCGTAAATTTGTACCCACACCCTCCTTCGAAAGTTTCAGGACACTTTCCTGTGAGATGTGCTACATTTGACGAACAAAGTCAGAGATAGCCTGCGATTGAACGTGTAACCATTGATCTTTAAAATCAAATCAGGTCAACTATCCGGGTTAAAATTTGAAAAGAATAAGGTTACGATAAGCATAATTATAAATGCTATCTTGACTAGAGAATTAATATTCTTATCAGTGAAACATAACGGATTTGTTATTATATCTAACCAATGGAAAACTCTTAGTTAACATCATTGACAGAAAAAAGGTCAAAGAGTCAGCCATGCTTACAACACATCACTTCCTTCTCGTTCATCCAGTCTTTTCGATAAAAAGCAACTTTACCTTCTAAACTTACTGGCAATAATCCGGAATATAGATGTCAGTGACAGCCACGTTTAGTTTACTCATACACCAAACATCTAGAAGGTGCAAGCTAAGGGAACATTTACATATTACGTAATCAAAACGTTGCACCACAATCTGAGCAGGAAATTTCCCACTCAGATTGTGGTGTAACGTTTTGATTATGTAATGTGTAAATGTTCCCTAAATGAATGTATAACATATTAGAGTTAAAAATCATTCTAAAGTCTCAGTTTTGATTGTTGTTTCATTCCTGAATCTCCGACAATTACAAACCAACAGCATTTTGTTAGACCCAGGGTAGACGTACTGAAAATGGCGCCTTTTGTGATTAGTTTGAATTTTCTTCCTTAAATACGTAGTTTTAAGGAAAATATCTTGAATTTTATGAGATTTTGAGATCTTTAAAACCTTATTGTAACGGTTTTCACCTGTCTTCTTTCAAAAATACAAAAGGATAGATAGAGCATATTTCATCGTATACAAACACCACCACCACCATAAAAACGGCAGTTAACGACGATATTTGTAGAGTAATAATAAATTCTTGTCCTCCACCTTTGCGCTTCAGTGAGACATTACAGTACAATTTTACTCTGGATAACGATGAGAAGGAACTATCATTCATTATAACTGTACTTTGGCTAAACAGAAGAAATAATCTATTTAGTACAGAACATCTCATATTTAAATTACCAAAATTACGTAAACTCATCTGTTGTAACGGGTTTGATGATAATAAAATTGAGTTGTTAATAAAATTATTAAGTTTATCACCAAATTCAAGTATTTTTACACTATTAGCTTGGTATAGATACAATTCACAAACAATTATCTATGTATTAAAATCGATTTCTACCAAATCATCATTAAAAAATATAAAAAATTTGAAATGTTCTTCATGCGGCTTTCATTATTCATTTCTAATTGATTTAGCACAACTAATACCTCATCTCAGAGAACTTTGTTTAGACGGAATCCGACACAGAAAAGGTAGTAAGAAACGAAGATGTAACATAATGTTAACACCAAAAATGGCAATTCATCATGTTAACACGTATTTTAAACAATTAATTAATTTAAATTTACATATAACATTAGTGATGATAAATTTTATGATCGAAGAGCACGCAATGAATTACAACTATGGTTACATAATCAAAATCAAAATCTTCTATTTTATTCAAAGTATAAATTAAAACCAGTTGAACGTTCACAACGTTCTTATTATTCTGATAGTGATGATGATTCCCCAATAACTTATGAATATTGTTTAAATATTTGGCAATAGAAACAATGAGAAACAATATTAATATTGTAGGGATTCATAACTATTTTTGTCAAAAAACTATTCTCGAGCTATTCTTGAGACATTTAATAAACAAGTATAAACGATACACCATCTTGTTTTTATCGACAGGCATTTACTGTAAAATCATGTAAAAGGGAAAATATATTTATAACTATGACACGGAAAGATGTGTACTGCAAAGAAAATTCCGAAATCCGTTTTAAAAAACGAAATGAAAACTAATATCTTTCATTAAGATTCTATGATTAAACTGAAAAAGAACAAATACAACAATCTTTTCCCTTAAATATAACGGAAAGAAAGAAACAAAAAGAAAACAATGGACGTAATAGGTTTATAACAGAGACCTGTACGGATTAAGAAAGCATAACTCAAACCCGTTTCGACTATCAAAATGCCGATCCGAATCCGACCCGACTACCTTGTGTGCAGAGAAAGCAGTCCTTAATCGGGTTGCAGGTCTCTAGTCTGTAACAGAACTGTACTTTGCAAAGATAGAGCGTGTCTCTTTCGGTTCTATGAAAGGAAGAGAAAGGGAAAACGAACAATGTTTCGTTTGTTCTGTTGCGTTTTTTTATAAGGAGAATTGCCAGAGAAGTTCGATATTTTTCACTGCTCTCTGCATTAGCATCATCTATAGTATAGTATTTCAAAATATCGTTTTTAGTCGAAATTTGACCAGATTTTTATTTTAGTAACATATTTTTAACTTTAAAACCTTTTCTTAGAGCCATGTTAAAGTAGAGGTTCAAGTTACAAAATGCTCAGTGATGAAAAAGTGATTTTAGCTCCCATGACCAGCCAAATAGGTTGAAGTCGATTGTGATTGATGTCGGGTATCTGGTGGTTGATTAATAGAAGATTTATTCCATTGACTGTAAGTCTACGGTCATACGAAATAAATTGTCTGTGTGAAATATTTTCAGTCCTTTAGGGCTCATTGGAGGGTCTCGAAAAAACTTTTATAGATTTATAGTACACTATGAAGCTTCCCAACACATTATAGATAGTTCCAAGCGAACACCGACCGAAGGAAGGTATGAACGTTGTCTTCTATTAAAAGTCATGGAAGGTTGTTCGCAGATATAAGTTCCTAAAGTCTAAGGACCGAGCGAGTGTTTTTCCGTATTTTAGACACCTACACACAGACAAGCAGTCATTTACAAGACCTTAGACTTAAGTCATGGAAACAAAGAGACAGATCGAAAATCTAGGATAGTAATGCTATTGTGAAGAGACAGATGACCTAAAAATATTCCATTTCAGTTTTCTATTTATGTTATCTACATAGCACTTATTGAAAGAAGAGAAAGATAGTAAAAACAAATAAAATAGGATAACTAAAGTGGTCAAGCTAATACATTTATCTTTTTCATGGATCCGGAACTACTCTTTTAGAGATATCATTAATCCTCTCGGGATGGTTTTTTTTGAAAAAATTAAGCCTATTATTAGAGTTAAAATAGATGTTTAGTCAATGAAAAATCATTATCAAAAGTATTTTAAGGTATGATAAGCTTGAAAAGAATTAGTTATACATAATCCAACATTACATCCTTCACACTGATATCTTGTGTATTTGATTGATTTTTCACGTTGTATTGTATGAGAGCATACATGATACTTCCTTTGGGTAGCTGTTTTTGAGGCAAGTGGCGATGGATAAGAGAACGCAAAGCTCTTATATTTATATATATATATACAGGAGAATAGGAAAAATATCAATCTAGACGTATTAGAATGTATTAGAAAAATCTAAATAAAGAATGTATGATAAAGTGAGGGAATACTTCACTATGTAATGTTATAAACTACTTAATACACTATGGATGTTTACGACACTTTAGAAATACTGATAATTTACTGTACCAACATAGAAAAAGTACTCAACAGACTATGTCCACTTACTTTTGATTGATTTGAAACATTTATCATCCTCAAATTTTGAGAAATACTCCAGGTGGTATATATACCACGCCCGTTCGAAAGGGTTAATAGCTGCTGTTAAAAGTGTTTTTACTAAAACTGTGGTGCGCTCTCATCGTAAAAAATATGGCTTAATTTTAAAGTAACACGATCGTGTTACAATAAAATGAATAATTTTTCCCACAGTATATTCGTTCAACTTACAGTCAATGAACTGCGTGAATTCATGTGATTCACATTATTTATAATAATAATGAGATATGCGTTGATTAAAGTAAATTATAATTGGAGATATTATTGCTCATGATGTTCTTTGTACCTGAGGGGATAAGAGCTTTAAGTTTCAGTGTTTCTTGTTTCCTTGACTGAAAGCAAGGGTTATACAACCAAAAATGTCTATCTGCGACTGAGAGAAAAATCTTATTTATTATTATTATACCTTAAAAAAAGAGAGAAAAAACCTTATTTTCTATATACATCTAGGAAGAGACATACACCCATGAAACTTTCACAGTAGAGGTAATCGACTACGGGAAATCAGAAAATCATTGTGAGCGATCTCTAGGATTGATTCTATTAGTCGAAAACTTTACTTCAACTTGATTGGATGAAAATGATATGGAATAAGTGGTCGACTATGGCGAATCGATTGCGATGGATTTCAGAATGTCTAGAAAACATCTAGAATTTGTATGGGTTTCTGAGTTGTCCTTTGAATGAAAAGCTGCATAGATGAAGTATCGGATGCCCGAATATCTCCAGAGAGGAAACTTTCGACGGTAAGACAAAAACAAACTTTATGCACTTGAGGTGACTGTAACAGAACTTTTAAACGATCATAGTTAAGTCATAGTTTTCTTCGATTGAATCATGTCTGAAGCATTTCAATCGGTATCTATTCGCGATTTGATGATATAAAATTTAAAATGTTCTTCATGTGGCTTTCATCGTTCATTTCTAATTGATTTAGAAAAATATTAAACAGAAAATAAAAAAGATGGGTATGCACCAAGGGGGTAAAAGCACCACTTCACCACTTCATTTCACTTCACTTCATCTAGGTAAAACGCTGCTGAAACGGTCGAAACAATAAAAAATCACTTCAGGTTCACTTCAAGTTAAGCGGAAGTGGTGAAATGGTACTTTCCCTCCCTTGCTTCCCTCCCCCATCAGGGGCGCCGTTTCAGCAGTGAAGTGAAGTGAAGTGAAGTGAAATGAAGTGGTGAAGTGGTGCTTTTACCCCCTTGGTGTGCACAGTGTTAAAATAACGAAAAATGATAAGAATAAAAAATAAAAACGACTTACATTAAATACATATTAAGGGTACCCTTCTCTTTTTACCCTCGTCGAAACCGGGGAAGCCGATTTCGGATCGGGTTCAAATGTATACCAAAGATAGAACATCAAAAAAGAAAATCGACGTATTTTTTCCCAGAATTTTCTGATGTGTTCTACGGATTTTCTGGAAAACTCCAGTTTTCATTGGCACACATTATGACCCCTCGAAAAAGTTGTCTGATCAAGCTCAAAATACCATAGATATGTCAGACCCTATCTCAGGTTCCATTTTTTCTTTTCGAAAAATATTCTTTCCTTCTCGAGATATTCGAATAATACTGAATATCCCATATAAAAAACCGGTTTTTCATTTTGAAAATCTTCTCACGTCGAAAGTTAAAGTCGAAAACGCTTTAGAAAAAAACGAATCTGAGATAGGGTCTGAAGTATCTGTGGTAAAATCTAAAAAGCCCGTCAGATTAGAGTCGCCGAGTTCCGACCAAACCCTCTCACCGATCAAACTACATCGTTTGATTTCGAGAAAACATAGAGAAATTTTAAGTAAGTTTCTGGGTAAATGTAACATTTTTTTACTCCACAATTTCGGCTTTTAGTATTTTGATTTTAACATTTGTACCATCTGCAGCACCGCTTCTTGACCACCGTGGTTTTTGGCAGCAAACTCGTCTGCTGTCTCATCATAATTATTCGTAGCAGTCCACTTCGCACCACATTCCAACAAAACTTCAATCTTTGGTAATTCAACATCGTTTCGAAGTTTTCCTTTCGCCACTAAAATCATCAACGAAGTATTTCCTTTTTCACCCACATTGCGGCGATTTACATCATCGACTTTAGTCAGAAATTTTCGAAACTGTACAACACTAATGTTATCACCTAGGCCAGTGAATACAGACTGATAATTCGGTGAAGGTGGTGACGGAGTGTTCACCGCCGTTGCTGCCAAAATTTTTATTTCTGTTCCGACTAAATAAGGACTCCATAGTAGCTTAATAACAGCAAATAATTTCTCGTGTCTATGATCAGCACTACGGTCCTTTGAAATTGCTCCTAGTAAAGCTTTCAAAGCATCTGATAACATCTTTGAATTTAACTGCGTATTCTGGATTTTACCTTTTTATAAGAGCGACTATGTTCATTCGAGAAATTAAGAGTAGTAGTGAATTTTGAGTGCTATCAGAATATATAATTATTTTTCTAGAAATGTGTTTTTGTAGTGCTGACATATTTAAAAAACCGGCTGAAACTATTTTTTTCCTGTCGGATATATTCACTGGGCCTTTGTACTTGCGGCTGCGGCAGACGAGGAAGACGACAGAAAAAACCGACACTGAATACGCTGATGAAAATTGAAAGTTTACTGAAGAATTATTGTGTATCATATAAATCGTATTTATGTACGTTATGTAAAGGCTTATTTAGTGGTTCGTATTGCTTCTGGGTCGTTGATTCACTCCCCGATTTTGCAATCACTATATCTGAATGTTAATTATTTTCTTCCTTTATCAGTTTATCTAAAAATGTCCATAGCGTCGGATGATAGCATTGGAATATACAGTTTAATTTTCTTACTGGTTCTGAACGTGGATTGCCAGAATGATTATCAGGCTTTTAGCTGCTTACCATAGTTTTCCATCCATTTCATCTAGTCCGCGTCGGTTTTCCTTAGTTTCCCATCACATCCCTCAGTTTCCCAGCAATTTTCAGTAGTTTCCCATAGTTCCTAAACTTACACGCAAACAGACGAAAACGCACATGGACACATTTCAGCCCCGGCATCTCGGGCTTATCCCCAGTGCATAGGGCGTAGACACAAGTTATTAGCGGACCGACAAACAGACAAGTCAAGACATAATACGAGAGTGATTAGAAATAGGAATTTAACAAATGGGAAAAACCTGAACATAAATCCAATGTATGCAATCCTTCTTTTCCTTTTAATTACGCAGAGAAAAAAAATGATTTTCCAGATTTAACTTGTCCGCAAAAACTGCTATATGCGATATTCGGATTTATCACGTTTCTTTTTGTTAAATTACGTAGGTGAAACGAATTGAATCTTCCACTTCTTCTTGCCTGAAAAATTGAGATGGAATCCAAGCTTCTTCTTCACTTCTCGCTCTCTCTCTTTCTACTACTTACGTCAGAAAATATTGTTATTCATCTTTTTCAAGGAAAAAAGGAATTTTACAGGTCGAGGATGAGAAGAGCGATTAAATCTCAATAAAGCTGGAACTATCACGCGAAATGCAACGAACAGCTTTCATCCTCACATGTGAAATGCAGCTAGTTTTTGTTCAAATATCGTTGGCTTTCTCTTTTAGTGAATTTCAGCTTCAAACAGCTGACAAGCAAAACCGACCTTTTATTGCTTTGTTCCTGATAATCCCTTTTACTAGACATGTGATAACATGTACTGTACTGCTTTCCAAGAGAACATGTGGACCGATGAGACGGTTCTGTCAGAAGAATACTCATGTCCCAATTGGTCTAGTGGTTAGGATTCCGCCCTTTCACGGCGGCGGCCCGGGTTCGATTCCCGGATTGGGAAGTATTTGTTTTTGCTTCTTTTTCATTTCTTTCTATTATCGTACAGGATAAGAACAATAGTCATCGTACACGTTGTGCTAGATCGCTGTCACGTACTTTATTTCCAAAGAAACAGAACAGACCAAGTGAGAATGATTAGCCAAATCACACTGTTGAAAAAGTGCTTCGTTTAATAATTCACAATGAAATAATCATGCTCTGGATTTGCCTTTTTATAAGAACACAGTAACTTTTAAAAGGTATTCACGAGAGTATTTACCAAACTGGCTAGCGTCTCGGAAGCGAGTTAAAGTGTAAGGAAATTGGTAAAATCTATTGGGATATCTATGTCTGGTTCAGGACAGAATGGAACTCTCGGTTGGTAATTACGTGAACAAGGGGAAGCATCATGCCAGTGAGGTGTGTAGCGAAAGTAGCTCCAGCTCATGATAAGTGATCAGTTAGAAAAAACTGCTTCGGATAGATGAAAGTTCGGCTGATTAAGGAATGATTGTGTAAATTGTTGCATAATGATCCTTGTTTTATCAGGCTTCTAATTTAATTGCACTTTTCTTCGGTTCCGCCCTGCAGTTTCTCTTAGTTTCCCAGCAATTTTCAGTAAATTCCCATAATTCCTAAACTTATACGCAGACAGACGAAAACACACATGGACACATTTCAGCCCCGACACCCGGGGCTTATCCCCTGTGCATAGGGCGTAGATAGAAGTTATCAGCGAACAGACAAGCAGACACGTCAAGACATAATGCGAGAGTGATTAGAACAAGTGCCTTCGGACATCAAAATTGAATTTTTAAAATGCTGCATTTTCACGTTCTCTGAACTTTGAGAAGGCCTGCACCCCTAGTGAACTATCTTTTCCTGATTAAAGCTATAAATTTGAGTAGAGCCACACGTGTTCTGTCCAGCGAAACTCGTGTTTAGTCAAATACTTTTACTTTTCACAGAAGAATTTGGCCCAACAGTACGACCATTATTAATATTTTCCAATTTTGCAGATACGATTTCGCCCATGTGCGAAGGTCGAATCCACAAATGTTTTTGGGTACAGGTAGCATACGACCTATACCACATATGCTGCAAGTACGAATTCTAGCTCTGCTGCGTAGACTGAAATATGACGCCTGTAAAACGCAGTTTTCGACACATGCTATTTTTAGCGGTGTTTAGGGCTTTTACGAAAAATGTTGTAAGTCCAAAAGGAAGAATTATCCAGTCAAAAGACTTTGGTTGGGAAAACTGAACATCAGTTAAGCAGCTTAGGTCGTGCCTACCGTGCAACGACTCACAAGCTAGTGTGTCGTTGTTGTAGGTAAATGAATATTTGATTACTTGGCCGGACGATAAATTATTCGTCCTCTCAGTATAACGTGTGGAAGCAACATCGTAAGCCATACGAAAATTTTGCTAACCACCATTGTTAACAGAATAATACACACCAACTCATGACGTATTAACCTTGGAAGAAAATCAGATCGTTGCTGTATTCTCTGACACAGTTATCCCATGCTCATATGCCATAGGCATTTCTCTTTACTGAATAAAAAATGACGTTGTTAAAAGAACTGCCACTATATGATGATTAATGTTGATATAAATAACCTTATCTGTGGCTCATTTCACTTTTATTCATTCTTCCTTTTAAAAAAATGATTTTAACGTAACGTGACATATAGGGAACAGTAGGGCATTTATTGTTATCATGAATGATCTTTCAGAAATGATTTCAGAAATTAATCAGATCTTTCTGGCATCATTTGGCAATACCAAAAGGTTAGATAGGTTTTAACTGACGTTTCTATGATAGAAAAAACTTAACAATTGTTCTTTAGTACATTGTAGTTACTGAATGTGTTGCGTTTAAATTTAAGACTACGATCAATATTTTTCCTGAAACAGTTTATATCATTCCTACCATTTAAATGTCCGAAAATAGCGGAATTGAAACGATTTCTGCATTTTCATAATGTATCTTGAACCGGTCTCCTTTTCAAACACCCAACAGATTCAGTTTAGAAACTCTTATTAATAAATTCTTGGTAATTTATTAAAATCGACTAGTAAACAAATATGTTTCTTCTCGAATATAGTTAGAAAAGATTAGAAGACAAACCACGATGATAAACGTAACCAACAAAAAGTTCATTTAACATTATTGTAAAATAAATGTTGACCAATTGTAACAGTTGGTGTTGTTGCCCAACGAGGATGAATATAATTTGCATGATAATGTGTTGAACCATTGGTATTGTCTTGATGTTTTCCATCAACAACATTTTGAACAATACGGAGAATTTTTTTGTATTCATTGTCATTAACATCTAAGTCTTTGATTTTTTGGTAATTAACGTCGTCTGTATTCCAACATGAGTATTGTTGTGGTTTCAAACAGACTTCTTTAATAGTATTACCCATCCATGAGTGTTTGTCGGACAATATAGATAGGTCGTATTTCAAAACTGCAGATTTCTGTGACCCTTCTTTCCTTTACGTTTGTCTTATGGTTAACATAAACATTGTTCTTGTAAATCCGTCCTTTCACTCTCTCTCGCGCTTCCTAGACCTCCTTTATGAAGCGTCCCATTTGCACGATTAAGAACTGTGTGTGCAACGGCAGCTTGTCCTTCGGATGGTTCACCACGAGCTTCAGCCCAAATTGTTCGTGTTAATACGTCAGTTTCATCTGATTTCCAAGGATCATATTCTCTCCCAGATCCACCTGTGCTTGCTTTTGTGTCTGGAAAGTAAAATGAAATTCAAGTATAGTCTTCAACGCTGATATAGTATGTCGGAGAAACATAAGAACTGCACATACTATTTTTTTTGTTCGGTATGCGAATAACCTGTCCAATCTGTAGTTTTGTCGGCGATACACCGGGATTCGCAGCCGTAATTTCATCAACATTACAGCGATATTTTCGTGCTAAGGCCCAGAATGTGTCTCCTGATACAATTGTATGCGTCATAACTGAATCAAAAATAGCTTCTTATTTGATTCTCTAAAATTTTCGAGATAGAAAGTAACTGCAGTTTTAGATCAGAAGTAACTACATTTTCTCGGGCATAACAGGGAAGTTTTAGCTTGTTTTTTAAGGTAAAGTACATGCCTCTCTTCCTTGTAAATCAGACTGAAAACCAGAATTTATCGTCTCCTTTTGATTGTATGTTACTATATCTTTTCGTGTCTTTCACGTTTTTATTTGGTTCTTTCCATTAGAAGAGAAAGGAAGAGAGAAAGTACAACGTTACTTATCTTTGTCTCTAAACCATTATTCATCCAGTGAATAATGCTGAATATCCAGCATGTAAATGAATATTTGATTACTTGCCCGGACGATAAATTATTCGTCCTCTCAGTATAACGTTTGGAAACAACATCGTAAGCCATACGAAAATTTTGTTGGATATCCAGCATTATTCACTGGATGAATAATGATTTAGAGACAAAGATAAGTAACGTTGTACTTTCTCTCTTCCTTTCTCTTCTAATGGAAAGAACCAAATAAAAACGTGA